TCGTATTTTGATGACATAATCTGAGAGCGCAAGCTTCCTTCTACAAAGAGAAGTTCTCGTGGAGATGGGGATGACCTTTCAACATTTCACAAAGTTTTGGATGGAACATTAATTAAGATTCTTGAAGACAAACCACGCCAATGTTTTATTTTGATTACGGTTTCTCATAAAAACTTTCCACAATTGATAATCGTCAGCGTCAGGACGCTGTAAACCCATTCGATCAATATCAGTATCTGAGAAGCTGCGCTCCTACCCCTCTCCTAACCCAACAATCGTCAATTGATAACAAGTCAAGGTTAATGTTGGGTTAGGGGAGGGGTTGGTGCGCAGTCGCTCACATACTTATATTAATAAGTATGCGATAGATTGGATTACCAATCTATTGCTTTTTATCCCTTTACATCCTAACAACAGTAGGCTTATTCTCCATCTGTTCGTTATACATTTCCAAAGGTGCTGACGAGGAGAGTTTGTTTAGCGATCAAAAGCGTCTTTTTTTGGTGATCATTTCCTTTATTCTCATGACCTTAATGTTTGATTCAGCGCTGATGTTGTATGGAGAAATTAGGTGCTAATCACTCTTAGGGGTTAAAGATTTCAAGAAGTAGAAAGTAACTGTTGGATTTTTAAATTGTGTGAAAAGTTTATACCTCGGGGTTTTTTTTGCTTAAGCGGTCAGAATAATTTCAAACGAGCTGACCTATTTAGGTAAACACCACAAGCTACCTTTGACATCTCAAAGCGCTCAAGGTACTTTTGTATCTTTCTCTCTGGCTTGCGTGGTAGCCGTGCGGAAGCCAAAGCACGATTTTTCAAAAAACAAAGACAATCTTTACTCTGGGTATCTGTTTATCGGTTACGTACGTGATCTGGTAGCGGACATGAGATAAAAAGTAATTACTGAAACACGATTAATCCGGAAATTTCGCAGTAAGATTCATCCAATTTAAGAGTTGCTTTGCCATTTCAAGGAAACTGGAGTGAAGAAGATTGTGTTTTGTTGTTTCCTACAGCTTACCGAATGGTCTTTGGACAGCCTAGCATAAAGAGTTACGCCAGCATAACAAACGCCACCTCGTCTAGTCTCTCGGAATTTACTATGTGCCTTTTTGTCAAAATGAAGGATACAAATTTCAGTAGTGATCAGTGCCTCTACAGTTATGCGACTATTGGAGCACCTTTTGGGAATGCCTTCTACGTTTACCTGTTTTCCCCAGGAATTAGGATTTCTATACACGCCTCGGGAGATAAGTAAGTGATATGACAAACACGATAAATAAAGTCTGTACTCGAGTCAAATGGCCCATCCAGCCTGACCGTATACCGGTTTTCTTAAAATAAAGCGTCTCGTAGGAGTTTTAATACTTCCCCCTGGATGGGATGCTTATCTATTGCAATTTCAGTATTTCATTCGGTTTCCCCGACAGTGTGCCGTAATACTCCTGGGTGGAGTGAAGCACTTTGAGAATAAAGTCTGTCGCCCAAGAACACAACACAACACAACACAATAACCCAATAGAATAAGATAGAAGAGAACTAAAAATATACCGGAATGAATGGCGAATTACGCGCGAGAAAGGGACGCGAAGATGAATTTTTTTGAGCTCCTTCCTTTCGCGCGTGAATCACGCTTACCTTGGCTCACCTCAAAAAAAATAATTTTCCTGTTCCCGCAATGGGCTAAAGTGCTCCCAGCGGAGTATTATCGAGGCTTCTGATGGTATTTGGCATTAACAACACTTGCGAACAAAAACAAGAGAACATGGTTGTTAACAACCACGTTCTCTTGTTTTTGTTCCCAAGCGACTTAAAATAAATAATTAAACGAGCCTAGTGATTTAATCATTGTTAATGACAAAATTAAGTGCTATGGCGTGT